ACAGTTCTGTGTACTCACTTTTTTGGGAAAATTGGGTGATCCATTCTTGATTTGATAAAAAAATCAATGTCCCAGATCATTAATTGTTTTGTGTCACCCTGTATTAGTAGTATTAAAAACTATAAATCGATTAATAAACCACAAGTAAAGAGAGATTTATTCAGCAAAAAATTTAAACATGCAATTTCAAAGTTAAATTGTAAAATATTGTTAAAAATTGTATTTTTTTTTTTCAAAAAATCTGCATATCTCTACACGGATTCATAAATTACACGTGCATATGACGTATGTTATTTTATAACATTTTGGTAATATTTATTCGCCAAAATTGTAAAATGACGTTGCCATTTTGGGTAATGGGAGAGATTATATGGGATAAATTTTGATTAACTATTTACTATGGGTAATATTAGCTTAGAACGTTTGCAAGTTTTCAGAGTAAGCATTCGGTTTTGCAATTTCAAAATTAAATTGCAAAATGTTGTTATACAATTTTGATTTTTTTTTCCAAAAATTCGGATGTCTAGGGTAAAAGCTCAACATGGATTCATAAACCACAAGCGCATGAGTAACTTATTTCATAAAATTTAAATAGTATTTACTGTTGTAAATATCCCATTGTTGGTTAGCGTTATACCATTTACACGATATTCTTAACACACATGTAAAATTTACCAACAATCAATCCAGTAGTTTTGGAAATTATCTGTCTAATATCAAGTGACATAGACAACAGACAGACAGACAGACAGACAGACGGACAGACAGATTACAGATAGATAAACAGACAAACGATAGACAAATGAGAATGGGAGACCTACTTTTTCGGACTCTCGGGTCATAAAACGTCTAGATAACCTGAAAGCAGCCATTCGTCGAACGAATCCTATTACAATACTTACTTTGCTTACGCTCAGGAAGTAAAACTAGGAAGACAGACAGATAGACAGACGGAAACGGGAGACTTATTTTTTGGTATTCTTGGGTGCATGAAATGTCGCAATCCTAATATCAGAGTGTAAAAACAGTTACAACTCTCACAACTGTAGAAAAGTGCAATTTTTCAAAGAGAAATCTGACAGTCTTAAATTAACGCGTGAAATACTTTGAAGCTAAATATTATCATCAAATTAAAATGTTAAAATTTATACAAAAAGTAAGCAAAATATGGAGCAATAAAATCAATGAAACATTCAAAAATGAAACTTGACGAAAATCTGAAAAGAAACAAATTTTTGGTCCTTTTTATTTTTTTTCTAATTTAATTAAAATATTAATGAAATAATATGACCGATTTTTTAAAGCAAAATTTTTCAACACATCATGTTTTGGAGTTTGAATCGATATAGAAAAAGTTGCATTTAAAGTTGAAATTTGACAAAATTGTGAAATACGTTATTGTTGTTGTTATTATTATTTGCTATTGCACTCAACCCATTTGACTACAATAACTAGTTATACGTTTTACCTTAATAAAATAGATTATGAATTCATGATATTTATAGGTATATTCTATACATGATAAAGTATTCTGGCGATCCGCTGTTTTCGGCTCACTTTCAATAACACCTATCGCCAGTGGCGGAACAGGCATGAAATTCTAGGGTGGGCCAACGGTTGGGCCCTCAAAATCTTAATTGGGCACGCATTGCAATGTTATATGTATGTATAACCGCATAGAAGTGACTTACCCCTAATGAAGTAATATTCGACGATTGTTGTGAGCAGCATCGAATTCTTTAACAATATCTTCGATGTTCGAAGATTTTGCCACGACAGATTCGACGTTGGTCACAGCAAGATAAATTAGTCTTTCATTGGTCATAGAATTACGCACACATGTTTTTAAACGTTTTAAAGTGGAAAAAGTACGTTCACATGCAGCACTGAATACTGGAATTTTAGCACTAATAACCGCTAGTTTGTAAGTTTCAATAAATGCAATTTTATAAATTTTTAACATGTCTAAAAGGTCCATTATTGTCGTGATTTTCATGTTTTTTTCATTTTCATACATTGCCAACGTTGTTGGACGTATCATAAGTTCTGATTTCAACAAATCCAAATTACTTTGATAAAAAGTGGCTAAAGGAGTTAAGGCGTCAAAATTTAAAAGTAAAGCATTGCTAGGATGCAAAGCTGCAACATCATCTGTGGGCACCGGGTTCATTTGCCGGGACTAAAAAAATGTTTTCGAGGTTTTATTACAAAACAAGTTAAAAATTTACACCGGTATTCCTAGAAAAATTGAGGTGGGCACCAGGGTGGGCCGCAAAGTTTTTAGTTGGGCCATGGCCCACCCTGGCCCCCCCTCAGTTCCGCCACTGCCTATCGCAAAATACTTTGGCAATTGCTTTAACAAGAAATTGGACGTTTAAAATTACGTTAACTTCTTGCAAACAACAGAATATTATCTGCTGTTTTAGGTATTTCAAGAAATGTATTTTAATTACTAATATACCAAACAGAAACTAAGACCATGTTCTATGGATGACTAAATTTTCAAAATATTTTTCAGTATCTCTATCATTGAAAAATTGATCCTTTTCCTGGTAAAACATTCCTCCGACACTGCACCTTTATTGCGAATAAGTTTCCAGCCTCTGTGTTTTTCTAAACCTACCACATGTTCTTCGACATTCGAACGTAACGCTTGACGATAGTTTAAAAAATGCCACGTGTATAAACAATAAAGCAATATAAGGATTAAGCAAAAATGGGTATTTAAAAAAAATTGAATTGTGTTGCGTCAGATAAAATTTTTGTCTTAAAAAAATAATGTCTCCAGCATCATTTATAATACTAGATACTGTTCACAATCGAGCTTTAAAAAATGTAACGCACTTAGATCAAAAGTATACTCAGAAAGTTTTTTTTGTATCGATTAAAAATTTAGGAGGTGATTATGAGGTTGTACGGTAGGATAGTAAAGTTAATGGTGATTGTAACGGTTGGCCTTCGGTGAAAATATAGGGGTGAACTAAAATGATTTATAAATTATCAAAACACAAAATATAAATTTACCAAAAGAACAATATAAACGATAGCACTGTACAAAAATTTTTTTTGTGTCTCTACATAGTTATTAATTACCATCATTAACTTTACAGGGCGATAAAGTTTTAGCGGATCCAAAATTAACCAACAGCATTTATGAATAAAGTAGGTAGCCACAAAAACCTGTGTTATAATTTATATTCATCATTAAAACCATTCACAAACAAATTTTGAACATCCTATTCTTGAAAACGTTTTCGCTTCCTTTGCTTGGTATCTAATCAATTGTTTTTTTAAATAAAAAAAATCACATTTTTGTGTTTGCTTATGTCCAAATCATCCTTGATAAACAGAATTGTGCTGAACATTGAATAGAAGATCACATTGTTGGAGATTTCAGAAGTGATATGAGTGAAAAAAACTGCCTCTTCCACAGAGGAGCGTAAAAAATTCAGTGGAATCACTACTTATATTCTTTTTCAATTATTGCAAAATAACGCAAATAAATTAAAACTTTCAAAACAAAATAATGTCTTTGAAAAATCTATTTTTTTATTTTGTTTGCAATTTTTAGGATGCACTTTGGTACGCACTTGTACACAGTTTGTATTTTTTTTGTTATTTTACATAAATTATTTCATTCCCTTTCTGTTAGTACCTTCTTAAAGTCTTAGTCACTAGCTGAACATATAACTAAATTCACTAACAGGAAGTAGATAATTTAATATCTCCCGTTTTGTGCAGAAAAGCAGACATAAAGATACTTGAGCGCTTTCGGTTGCCTTATATTTGATAATGAAGAAAGCCGACATAACAAATTAATTCATCTCCCTTTGTCGAGGCATGTAGAGCATTGTTTATATTTTTGTATTAGGTTTAAAATTGTAATTTATTATTTAGATTTTTGAACATAAAATTAAAATAAAAGGAGTTGTGACTTTTTTCCGTTTAAATAATTTCTTTAATACAGTTTATCATTTTTTCAATTATTGTAAAAAAATCATGTCTGTATATGGAGCGCACTTTGCTGTCTAGGTACGCAATTAATTATAATTTTTGTTATTTTACATAAATTCTTCTCATTGTCTCTTTTACTATTTTTTTGAACGATTAGTTATTAGCTGAATATAAAACTAAACTTAAAATAGTAGCTGTTTATTTACTAGTATTTTCTTTGTCGAGAGATATTGAGTCTTGGTTATATTTTTGTATCGGTTCTGGTTAATTGTGATTATTTTCATTTGCGAACAAAAACTTAAAATTAAACAAACCGTTAACAAAATGTTTTTTTTTTCAGTTTAAACTAAAAAAATAAATTGCTTACGCGTAAAATAATGTTTTCTTTAATACAATTAATAATTTTTTAAATTCAAATTAAGCAGTAAAAAAATAAAAAAATAGAAATTTTGGCAGGTGTTTTGTCGTCGCTTTGCTCAGTCGTAAGCTGTAACTAAATCGTCGACATTTAATTGCCTTAATTCAATTGCGTAATGTGACCGGGTTCACGTAACAACGTCAAGAACCCAGCGTTAAAAGTCTAAAAAGAGCTTGCAGCGTCGACTGCACTTTCGAGTCAAAAGCGCCACACATCCACACCTCGCAGCCGAAACCGACCGCCGAGAGGTCTTGTCGTGCAATCCGAAACCGAAAGTTTTAAGCAGACACTTTGTTTATCGCGCAAACAGCCGCCGAAATTTCCTCGATCTCACCCTTATGCACCCCAGGTGTAAAATCCTCGCCCCGACTTAACATCCTCGCCGTCATCAATTTTTCCCCAATCAAAAAGCCCATTCCGTCTCAGCCTCCGTAACTCCATCCTAAAATATCGCAATCATTATGCCCCAAACATCGGGGGGATTAACTATCAGGCCCTCCCTCTCCCCTCCCCGCTCATCCCCCCCATCCCCATCTCCTCCGAAATAACGAACTGGACATTACGAATCTAATTACAATCTTTGCTCATGCGTGGCCGAACCGACGTAGATAGGGTTTAACTCATGGGGGATACCCAGCCGACGGTAGGGGTAAGTCGAAGTGTGCGCTGGCTGAGACTCGCTTGTTTAGCCAGTAGCCAACTAGACTCCGCAAACGCCGCCAGACAGCGCCAGTGTTGTTCCTGTTTGGTGACTTCGCGCGCAGTGAATCACGTGCTTGTGATGACCACCCCCTAGGCCCCCGACGAGACCTGGAGCCCCAGCACCTCACCGGAGACGTCGAGCGTTGCGATACTTCTGCTTCCGGTAGGTGACATCTCCAAGACTCGGGCGGTTGCGAGAACCGCGTGAATCACTCCGTCGCGCCGTCGAGCGGGCCACGAAATCTCAATAAGGCGTGAATCATGCCGATCTCGCGTCGCATACGCGTACCGGTATAATTAAATATCGGAATGGGTGTGCCACACACCGCTAATTTATGCCTCGTTAAAAATTCGCTCGGAAAAATCAATCCTTGTCCGTGATCCGCTTAATTACCGCCTCGCGCGCTCATTTTTTAGGCGTTCGGACACTGGGGGGCGACTGTAGTGCCCCTGCATTCCGCGCAAATTGCGACTAGGTGTGTATTGTCATTCGAGCCCACGCGCGTTTTCTCATACTTATTAATAACTCTTACTATTCGATAATTACCGCCGGAATCGATACGGAGCCATCGTTAAGATTGTTGCATGTGGAGGCGGGAAAAAGCGCGACGTGCGCTCGATTTTCGACAAGAAGTGCGCCTTTGCTAAGAAATTCCGGTTAACTAACCTAGGAGCACGTGATGGAGCGTGTCGCACGTGCTCGGGAGGACGCGGCTCTCACTTTCAGCGAATCATAGGAGGCTCGGAAAGGCGTCGCGAGCGTCAAGGTCGTCTGTTGAGACGGTGCGACTCCTCCACGGCGAAAAAACGAAACGGGTAGGGGAAAGTGCAGCGGTCGGAAGCGGTGAGATGATCTCGTAGTTTTACTGTCATTCCCCGATTTATGCATAAACTTGGACAAAAAATATTGTTTATAAATTAGCTTTAGGTAGATATCTCGTTTAGAACCACTCTCAATCATGAATTATTTATTTCGACATAATTACGAACTGTGCGCAACTTGACATTAACACTAGATAATGCGAGAAAATATGTGTAGAAGTTGAAATCGAGCCCATTGGTTATTGAGATTTTAGTTTAGACCGAATGTGATCATTATTATGGAAACAGAACAATAACAATATTTCCGTTCTGTACCTAAAACAATTGTTTTGTAACTCTTTTTTCTGTTCTGACGAGTGTAATATTTGTCTTTCCGTCTTCCAGTTTTAACTTTCGGCAAAATGTGTCAATTGTTTCCTATTTCATTTTGTTTTGCCCCACAAAACAAATGGCGAAAAATTATATCACAGTAGTAACTACTATACTATAAGAAGGTTTCAGATTTCAGAATTGATTAAGGGATAAAGTAGATCGTAAAAACAATTGTCTAAATTCGTTTTCTAATAAAAATTAAAAACTTTGGACGGGTGCAGAAAAAATCAGTAGAAGTACTGCTATAAATTTTTTTTTCAATAATTCAATCATTAACTCACTACTCATTACAAACCATCCTAAAGGGCTGTTGTTTGGTTAGTTTTTGCAGTTTATAGTGATTCAATCGTTTTCGTCCAAAAAACAGGTATAAAGATGCTTGAACAAATTGGGTTTATCTCATTTAGAACCATTCTCGATTATCAATGATTTATTTCAGCATTATTAGATACAAACTGTACACAAATTGACATTAACACTAGCTAATCCGAGAAAATATGTGCGGAACTTGAAATTCAGTGTGTTCATTGGTGGTTTCAAACGTGATTATTATTACGGAAATAAGAAAATAATAACCTCTTCGTTCTAGATTCGAAACAATTGTTTTTGAAGCTTTTTTGCTGTTTTCTGGAGTTTGATGTTTATCTCTTCTTCTTCCAATCACATCCGGACATTATGTTTAGATAAAGTTAGTGATAATCGTATATTTTTAGTTAAAAACAAACTTCATTTCAAAGTTATTATCTTTCTTTGAAAACTTCATTTCGAATATGTGTTCTCAAAAAAAATGCATTTTTCTATGTCCACATCATCCTTGTCAAAGAGGGTTGAGTTACACATTCAGCTTGAGGACCAGAGTGTTGAGATTTCAGATCTCAGAATTGATTTATGGGTCAAATAAGCAGGGAAAACATTTATCGAAGAATTCTCGATGAGTTCTCTGGCAATAAATTAAGAATGTTGGAGGAGTGCAGGAAAAATCACCAGAACCACTGTTCATAATTTTAATGCAATTATTACCAACGTAATTTAGTATCTGCAGTTTGCACTGAATGAATCGTTTTCGCCGTCCAATCTCCATTTTCCGGCAACAAATTAAAATTTGCAGGACTGGCTTAATTTGTAACGTGTAAGAAGTGTATGAAAAATCGGTGAAATCTATGCCTTTTATATTTTTTTATAAATAATTACATACATATTATGTATATAAAAAAAATGATACTTGAGCTAATTAAGTTTGCCTTGTTTTTAGAACTTGATATTATCGATTTGCATTTTTTGATAACTATAAAAAACACTGTATTATTGGGTGTTATGTTTTGGAATAAGGAGATTAATATTTAATAAAATCATTAATCGGTATGTGTACCAATAAAAATAAAATTCCTTTAAAACGTATATTTAATAACCCTGTGGGTTGTTTATGTTACTAATCTGAAGTAAAATTAGCATAGGTAGATTTACTCAATGTAATTTGGTCTGACATGTCTCTTAAGTTTGTTTTGAGTATCTGTTTAGGGCTAAATATTTTAATATCATTTTAATAAAGACCGATTTTCACTAACTTCGTATCCTTCAGAAAAATAGGTATCCTTAGTGTAACGCATTTTTACTGTAATTTTTGAGTTTTTTGTAATATTCTTTTTATGTATTTGTCTTGACAACCTCTTTCCTTTCTTTTAGTTTACTTCTAGTCCCTACGTATATAATTTTTCACTTGTGCGTATGAAAATTTTGTACTGATCAAACGAAAAACTAAGAAACTTACGAAATTCATTCACAACTAATTCTCGCTGCGATGCTTAAAATGTTAATCTACACAATATCGACTCGAGAATTATAATCGACATCCTGCTTTCGGGTTTTCATAAATGTTTGGTGTGTGCCTGATGTGTTATAAAAGTATCGAAAGAGTGTGTCCATAAAATATGGAATAATAAATTCGGAAAAAACTCGAGAATGAAATCCAACACACAGCTTTTCATGCACGCTATATTCAGAAACAAATTTGAATTGAACGCTTGAAAACATGTAAAAAATGAAGGGGTTTTCAATTTCAGACGAACTCTGCTGCCAGTTTATATTTTTGGAATACATTTCTGAATTTTGAGTTGATGTTAGGAAAGTTTTGAAGTGGCAAGGAACAATTTTGTTAAATTTCACAATGTTTTCTCGAGTTTATTTAATATTTTCTGAACACATTGTATATTAGAACTAAATCTGTTTATATATTTTGCTTATTCTGTAAGGGAAGTGTTTATCATTACCAAAAGTTAAACCGAAAATTTGCAAAAAATTAGCGGACTAAACCTCTTTGTTGTATGTTTTAAAATTTTTACTATTAAGTATAATCAGAAGGAATATTTCTTCTCGAGAAATGTAGCTGTTGCATGTTTCTGTAATCGTTCCAATCGAATATAATTTTCCCTTTTATGAATACGTCACGTAAAAAAATTCAGGAAATATATATTTTTATCTATCATCTACATATTTGTCAGCGTAAATGTTTCGATATAAATTGACCACCATTCAAAGTCGAAATGCGGTTATGAGAAACATTCAACAATAAAAAACTTCCGTTACAATATAAATACATCATAATTATATAAATTTTTTGCCAATAATGAATTTACCGACTTTAAACAAAACGCAACTGCAAACGAGTGTGTAAGTCACGCATGGGCGGTAGATAAAATAAAATTTAAGTAAATATTATGAAAAGAATCAAAAATTTAATTTACTGTTCGTCAACAATCTGTCACTCCTAGCAACCTACTCAGTAAATAAAATGTAAATATAAAGTAATTGTTTTAAGAATACGCACGTATTAGCTAGTATCTGTGCTCCCTCACAATATGTTAATTGTATGATTGCGAATTGAAGAAAAAGTTCATTTTATAGATATATCTTCTCCCTGACACAAAATAAGAAAAAATGTTTCTTTGAACTAAGTAAATATGTAAATATATTTGCTTTTTCCGGAGGCACAGAAATAACTAGCCTTATGTAATCAAAAGAAATAAAAGCTGGAATACTTTTTCAATTCAACTTTATAGAAACTTTATTGACTTTAGTTTTATTTATTGTGATTACTGAAGTAATCTTAATGTCAGCGTCGCCTATGCTCTTTACAATTTTCCGGAACTACTGTTTTTTAAAAATTAATGTGAACAGGTTACAGACAATTGCATGATCATTGATTACATAATTATCTCGACGGTGAGTCATCTAACAATGGATACATTAATGCACTACATCCTTAGACATGAAAAGATTGTTATTGTTACTGGTAACGTGTATGTACCGCTGGCGGAATCATTGTCTGCCTACAACTCTGTGTAACGATTGCAATTTTTGTTGTAAATTTTGTAAGAACTTATTTGGAAAATTATGTTTGATCCTTGCATAAATTATATTTCTTTAGTTATGTTTACAGCGTTCTGATTTTTCTGTAGTATTACATTTAAATATAAATATATAATTATAAAAAAAATATAATGGCTAATGTTGTCTTGACGTTTCATAGTTCTTAGCATCTGAAAAAGTAGGTCCCCGTTTCTGTCTGCCTGTAATTTGGATGTGGCTAAAATACCTGTCAAAATTTATCTGATTGTATTTCTTCTTCATTTTATGGATTTTCAACAAGTTGTTCTAATCTTCGTACCTAATTTCGAGGAGAGTTTGTCTAGAAATTTGTATCGTATTTTTCTATAGACAAACCTTGTACAGGTTGTGCTCTATTTGTAATTTGTTGCATGAAAAATGTGTACTGTTTATTAAACTTTTAGCTAATGATCTTAAAGATAACGTCCTTTTTATTTTCCTACGAGATTTTAGCAAGTTTGAAGCAAACATATCTAGAAGGTTCCCGTGTAGCAAACCATTGCGTTTGTCGTATAAATGCCATCTAAACGGTGTACAAAGCATTTAATAAAATGCCTATGTATTTACATTTTCACTCGTGCTTAT